ATGTAGGTATGTATATATCATCATACACCAGTAGGGGCCTTTACAGGGCCAGGGTGGGGAGGTTTCTACTTTGCATTACCAAAAACTCCTTCCCCATATAGAATCCAAAATGCTAGATAAAATATAAGAAACACCTGTTTAAATGCATAGCCAAATCCACAAGAAAATAAGGGACTTCCCAAGGGGCCAAAAATCAAAGACCCCCAAAACCAGAGCAGAGAATACACGCTGACACTGTGTGATGGTCTCCGGGGCTACAGAGAGGTGAGGATGTATGTGAAAGGCACACTTGTCCCTCAGGATGTAAAAGGGGCACAGGAGCGATAAGAGAGATGACAAGCCTAGTATTTTAAGTCTTAAAGCCAATTATAGCTCTCATGCATTTTTAACCTTACCATTTGGCAAGAGCAAATCCCAGGATTATATACTTTTAAAAATATATTACAAGGGGTTTCTTAAGAGATTTCACTACAGGTGTTAAGTTAAAACATGACGGATAGATATATACTGTTTCCCCCAAACATCAAAGTCGACCAGTATCTGGGACCTTATTTTAAAAACTATCCTGTAGTACGTATGCAAGTTCAGTGGTTTTAACCACCAAGTAGTTTCCAAATCTTAAAACTCCTTGGCAAGATTTTAATCCTTTAGGGTCATTAAAACACCCTTCTGCTAAGTACATTACCAACGGTTTCATAATATCTGATACACCACACAAAAACAATCTATCACCTCTGAGTCAATCTTATGGTCAATCTTATGGTTTGAGAGTTATCACAGTAAAGGGAATTGGCAAAGGACGTGCTGGTTCGGAATCTACAAATCCAGAGAAACACCTGCAATATTCAAGTTAAGGAATTACAGTCCACAGCTAAAGGGCAAATAAACAATACCCTTTATTTATTTTGTATCTCTTTAAAGGCTGAAGACATCACATTTTCCCTTTGCTTACCGTAGTTTCGGTCTGGCTTTACAAATGAGAATTTCAACCCTCAATTCACTTCCAAAAAATCCCCTTATTCTTAGGGTAAGCCCAATAGCCCAAGAAATACAGCACAGAGTTATCTGTACTCTCTTCTCAGGGGACACAGGTCTCTACTGCCTTCCCGTATTTATGTAAGGCTGTACATTTCGCCCTAGGCTTCCATACACAAATGCACAGTAAATGTTCCATCTTAAACGTTGCTTTAGAATGAGTCTGCTGCTGCTTGAATCTTTTTCCACATCTTGCCTTGCTAGATGGTTCAAGACTTAAGCATTCGCTCTGCAAGGATACCAAACGCTGGGAAAAACGAAGTCGGAGATCAGGAGCCCAAAGTGAAGACCAGGTTCTGGCCTGAGCAATCACTCTGCTACGGACACAATCCCAGGGGACCCGGGCCGCTCTGGGGTGAGCGCGCGCACGGTCGCCCCGGTACACAGCAGGAGTTAGCAGAGAGGGGAGGCTCCAAGGGGAGCGCTGCATTCTGGGACTCATTTCCACAGTTACCCACGTGCACCCAGCCCAACCGCGGCCCGGCGCACCTGGGACTACAAGTCCCAGAATTCCGCGGGCCTTCCTTTCCCCTTCTCACCAGCTGCAGGAGCCAGACCCTAAAGGAAACCCCTAAAGCGCCTTCGGGGTGCTCCAGGAGTGGGGGGGGAGTCGTGGCCCATATTAGGCACCGCCGCGACCCTGCGCGAAGGGGAGCGGTTCCTGACGCATCAGCTCCACACCTGATGGCCAGAAATTACACAACTGCGTCATACACTGCCAAACCCACGGACCGCAGGGGACCCCCAGGTATCTAGGGGAAGCCCGCAGCCCGTCGCCCTACCCCGCCTCGGGGTCCCGCTGCCCGAGCCCAGGCTGACCTCGCTTCCCGGGGCTCCACCGCCAGCCTCCGGACACATCCCCGGTCCCCGGCGCCGCGGCCCCGCCCCCTCCTCTCCACGCACCCTGAGGCTCAGGGCGGCCCCCCTCGAAGGCTGGACCCGGCCTCCCCCGGGAAGGAAGCGCCTCCTCCATCACACAGTCCGGCACCCCCCAGGCTGCCCAGGAAACACCGGATCTGGGCATGACAGTCCTTCCAGCCCTTGCTTCTCGGCACCTCCCCTGCCATCCCAAACCGCGGCCCCGCCCCCTCCTCTCCACGCACCCTGAGGCTCAGGGCGGCCCCCCTCGAAGGCTGGACCCGGCCTCCCCCGGGAAGGAAGCGCCTCCTCCATCACACAGTCCGGCACCCCCCAGGCTGCCCAGGAAACACCGGATCTGGGCATGACAGTCCTTCCAGCCCTTGCTTCTCGGCACCTCCCCTGCCATCCCAAACTCACACAGCACCCCCACCTCTCCTCCCCT